CCGGCCCAGCCCCGGCCTGTGCCCGTCGGTCGCCTCCGTGAGGCTGACTCCTGGCCAGGCGTCTTGCTGGTGAGGGAAGGCAGGAGCGACTGTGAGGAGCCTGGCCGCTGGCTCGCCTCTCCCTGGGCAAACCAGGGAAATGTGAGTGGTGTCGGGCATCACCAGCGTCTGAATTCCCACTTGTGAGGCTCCTGCTGTGATAATAAACAGGGATTCAGTGAAATGGACCAGGCACCCACATTTCCCCTGCAGTGAAAATGTTGGTCAGAATCCATGGCTGTGTCTACACTGGGCCACTTATTCCGGAAAAGCAGCCGCTTTTCCGGAATACGCTGCGAGCTGTCTACACTGGCCCTTGAATTTCTGGGAAAGCAACCATGCTCTACTGTACAAAATCAGCCGCTATTCCGGAAAAGCTATGCTGCTCCCGCTCGGGCACAAGTCCTTATTCCGGAACACTGTTCCGGAAAAGGGCCAGTGTAGACAGCCCAGTAGTCTTTTCCAGAAAAAAGCCCCGATTGCGAAAATGACGATTGGGGCTCTTTTCTGGAAAAGCGCGTCTACATGGCCACAGATGCTTTTCCGGAAAAAGGGCTTTTCCAGAAAAGCAGCCTGCCAATGTAAACGCTCCTTTTCCGGAAATACTTATAACGAAAACTATTCTGTTTTAAGCATTTCCGGAAATTCATGCCAGTGTAGACACAGCCCATAGGTGTAGCTGTTGAATCGATCTTATTGTAGAAGTTGGAATTAAATAATATTTTCTCTTATTCTCACCCTCACCCCTGGGTTTGTCTAGGTGTCTGCTTGTATCCCGATTCTCAGATTGGCAAGAACTCCTAAGAAGGTTTTGTTTTACTGTCACTTTCCTGACCAGCTTCTGACCAAGAGAGAATCTTTTCTTAAGCGCATCTATAGAGCACCTCTTGACTGGCTGGAAGAGTATACTACTGGTATGGCAGATTGCATTGTTGTCAACAGCAGTTTTACAGCAAATGTCTTCAAGGATACATTTACATCCTTAAATCATATTAAACCTGATGTCCTGTACCCTTCTTTAAATGTCAGTACCTTTGAAACTATTGTTCCTGCAGATATAGCTAATATAATTCCCCAAGGGAGAAAATACTTGTTTCTTTCAATCAATAGATTTGAAAGGAAAAAAAACTTAGCATTAGCTCTGGAAGCATTACATGATCTTCGTGGAAGGCTCAGTGCTCAAGAGTGGAATGAAGTTCATCTAGTTTTGGCTGGTGGTTATGATGAAAGGGTTTCGGAAAATGTGGAACATTATGAAGAGCTGAAGAATATTGCAACCAAGCTTAATATTAGCAAGCAAGTCACTTTTGTTAGGTCTTTTTCAGATGAACAAAAAATCGCTCTTTTTAATAATGCTGTATGTGTGCTTTATACGCCAAGCAATGAACACTTTGGCATAGTACCTTTGGAGGCTATGTATATGAGATGTCCAGTGATAGCAGTTAATTCAGGTGGTCCTTTGGAATCTGTTGTAAATAATGTTACAGGATTTTTGTGCGAACCTCTTCCAACGCAGTTTTCTGAGGCCATGGAAAAATTTGTGAAAGACTCTGCCTTAAAGAATACAATGGGAACAGCTGGAAGAATGAGAGTTACCAAAAATTTTTCATCAGCAGCATTTTCAGAACAGCTGCACCAATACATATGTAGATTAACACAATAGCAGATACACTTACTGTAATTTACTGTTGTCATATTTCTGGTTTGTGTATGAGATGGTTCAACTAATAGCTAGGCTAACACAAATATGCTGGAGTATTTAAAAAATGTAAATTGAATTAAATCTTTAAACTACCCTTTTGGATACTATGCTTAATGCTGGTTGCCTCAAAATAAGGTTTTATTTGAGGTTGGATTTGTTTACTATTTATTTGGGTGCCACTGACTGCACTGAATTTTTGCTATGTATTGTGTACTGGAAATTTTTTTAATACATTTAAATTTCACTTTCTAGTTTAAATTGTAAGAAAAGTTAAAATTATGGCAAATCTAACTTCAGATTGTATAAGATTAACTTTCATAGCAAGTGTAGAGAAGAAAGTTTAATTAACTTTACAGGGCAGTTATTTTGTTGTAGTACTCTGTATTCTGCACCATAATTTGCCATTTGAATGAATTTCTACTGCAAGGTTCTCCCAGATCTCCACTAATTCTAGGTGAACAGGGTCATTGAAAATCCAGTGAGTTTTATCTATGTAATAAAGTCGCAGGTGGTTTGATCCATAGTAGTCTTAAACTGTATATTTGTCTGTGAACTGTTTGCCTTAAACATTATCACCTAATCACCTGTGATGTAATAATCCCAGTACTAGTTTGTTGTTCTTGGCACAGTAGCACAGGGAGGCGAGAGAAGGAAGGAACCAAGGATGTCAAAATCCCTTAGACAAAAAATGGGATCAAGATTTAATCCCATCAAAAGTCCCTCTAATCTTCTGGAATATCAGCTCTCTTACTGAATGTCTACATATACCAAATTACTACATTTCCTTTTGTTTATTACAAGTATGTCTTGATACATCTTTCTTTTGCAGATTTTCTTATCCTCCCCGTAACCAGCTAGATGGGTAGAAAAAATGTTTTGATTTGTTTTCCCCCATTCCCTTTACAGTTGTATGCAATAGTGCTGGGTCATGCAAAAATGGTAATTTGAATATTTTTCCTACACTCAGGACATCAAAAATTGAGGTTTTAGAAGGTACAGGTTAGACCTCCCTGGTCCAGTACCCTCAGGACTTGACTAATCCTGGATGAGGGACTTTTCTGGATCAGGGGAGGTCATTTCTCCCCCCTCCCCTGCAGCCTTCCTGCCCTGCCTTGCCACCCCCATCTGGTTCCTCCAGGCAGCCCCGTTGAGTCTCGTGCTTGGCTCCCTGTTCCCTACAATTTCCCTCCTCCCGCAGCCCAGCTGAGCTGCATGCCAGCTCTCTCCCCTCCCCCAGCCCAGCTGAGCCATGCAGCAGTTTCCTGGCCCTGCTCCACAGTCCTGTAGGGCAATGTGCTGCCTCCTGCCCCCCCAATGGGCCATGCTTCTGAACCATCACCACCACTCCCTGCAGTGCGTCAGAACGTTCTGATCAGGGCATTTGTGGTCCTCCGGGACCACAGATGTTGCTGAAACAGAGTCCTAGTTTATAGAGGTGCAACCTGTAGTATGTATTTCCCATGTCTTTTTGTCCCTAGGACATGAGGGTAGCAAGGCTTCCTGGGACGTCTGTGTGTCTGCGGTAAAGTGCTCACTGTGTAGGCAACAGGTGGCCTTGCTTGAAGCACATCACCATTGTCTGAACCGAGCCATTTGGTGTTGGCTCACAGATTAGGGCTAGGCTTCATACACAGTGTCTCCTGGAATGACTACCCTTTTCACTTATCTTCACAACTGGGCCAGCTGTGAGCATAGTGGCTGTGTCTAGGCTACATGCCTCTGTCGTCAGAGGCATGTAGATTAGACACATAGGCAAAGGCAAATGAAGCCGCGATTTAAATGATCGCGGCTTCATTTAAATTTACATGGCTGCCACGCTGAGCCGACAAACAGCTGATCAGCTG